AAAATTTTTTTAAAATATGACCCGGACCAACATTGCGTGAATTGATGTGGAATCACCCCCTACGAAGTCAGGTATTTCTTCACCTATCCGCGGGCCAACGCATGTGTAAACTTCGCCTTAAAAGCTTATTCGCCGTGCGCACAGCCTAGAGTCCCTGTCGCACCGCCAATACACCATGCAAAAGACAGTCTGCAGGCAGTGTCGCGTATTTCTTTTTTGTATGACTGTCCAGCCACATGGATCGTACAAATAACTATCTGCACATATTTCCGAGGCGCACGAGCCTATGAAGCGCACCTACTTAGAACTTACGTGAGACGTGTGCGCAGGTAAATAAGAGACCATCTCAAGTATGAGCCTTGCGAAAATGTTTATGCGGCATCACTTAAAATCCCCAATCATCCATAAATGTGTGAACTAAGTATGTATATATATATATATATATATATATATATATATATATATATATATATATACGGAGTGCGCAGTGCCGGATCTTTAGGAGTGCCGCGTCCTCGAACTCTAATTACAGGCTTCACATAATTCAACACCCACTTCGCTTACTAAAAAAAAAAAAGAAACGTGTTGGTGTGGGAAGTAAGAAAGCGGTACGAAAATTTTCTTCTCTTGCCGATAAATTTTTTATCTATATATCACTGATTTTTTTTCTGCTTTATACACCAACTCAGCTCTCCTACGTCACGCCGCGGTGGTGGCGCATCGAACGCACTTCCGGTCTGGCGCGGTGGGCAGAAGTCTCCGTCCGAGACATGCATTCTTGTGTTCTTTTCGGAGAAACCAGACAAAAAAACCTGCGTTCTCGTCAAAATGCTGCGACGGGGGCTGTGCCAAAAGAGTTTGGAAAGGTTTGAGATCAGTTTTCATGTGTTTCTGCCCGCTCCGTTCGTCCGAGTAGGTGGATAGTAGCCGTGAAAAGGGTGAACCAGACGCTGTCGAACTGCGATTGCTTGTGCGGGCAACACTTTGTGGTCGCCAGATATATTTGTTTTGTTCCAACATGAACGAGAGGAAACCGCCAAGTTGTCCGGGCCCCCCGCGGGTTCAGTGCGTCTTCAAATTCACACGGCCGCCTGATCGTTCGAACTTTCGTCTGCTCTTTTGAACTTGTCTGCTTTTTGTCGTCTGCTCGTTCAAACAAAAGCGGCCCGTAGACCAAACTTTGACCCGGTGATTGCAATAAGAAAAAATTGCAGGCCTCAAACGACTTAAGTAGGCTCGGTGTAAACAGTATATACAAGATGTTGATCATTGGTACCAGTGGCCATCACCGACTTGTTACGCTTGGTCTGTTTCCGCTTCCGAATTCCAGTATCGACGTCGATCATCGCCGCTACCTTCTACACTTTTGCAGCACGAGCGACGTTGCGACCGAAAATATATAGAAGATTCTCATCGTGGTTTTGGCGTCCATTCTGTGGCGTTCACGCGAATGAATCGCCGCGAGTCAAATTATTTACGCAAAGTTTAGCGGTGTAACGAGCCTTGATAGTTTCGCTCAGGCGATTAAAGTGGTAAGACATTGCTATGGGGACATAGATTCGACAATTCCGGCGCGAAAATGAGTATGCAGACTTACACAGACGCCGACAACGTAACATTCCAAAGGGTTGTGGACGCGGGACGCGGTGCTTCTTGCCCGCCATCCATTTCGCATGCGTTCGAACTGTCGTCTGCTCTTTCAAACTTGTCTGCTTTTTGTCGTCAGCGCGTTCAAACAACAGCGGCCCGTAAACCAAACGTTGACCCGGTAATTGCGGTAAGAACTAATTGAAGGCCTCAAAACACTTTTGAAGGTTGGTTGGGGTAAGTAGGCTAAGTGTAAACAGTAGATACAAGATGTTGATCATTGTTACCAGTGGCCATCACTGATTTGTAATGCCCGATCCTACTTGCGGTTTTCAGTATCGACGTCCACCATCTCATCTACGGTCCACGCTTTTGCAGCCCGAGCGACGTCGCGACTGAAAATAGCGAGCAGAATCTTATCGTGGGAGTCAGGCTTTACCGCCCGTTCTGCGGCGTCCGCGTGAAATGAATCGCCGCAAGTCACATTATTCACGCGAAGTTTTGCATCGTTAATTTTGCTGAAGCCGCTCAAGTAGTCAGACATTGTTAGGAGGACGTAAAATCAACAATTCTAACGCGTAAAAGAGCACGGGGACTCCCACCGGCGCCGAAAACAACGCAATGCAATGGTTTGTTTATGGGCGACGGCGGGCTTCTTGCCCACCGTCCACCGCGCATGCGCGGCGCCGGTGGCATCCGCTAGGGGCGCTCCGGTTTGTTTGTAAACATGAGTTGGTGTATACACAATTGCAAGATGGGCTACGGGGCGCTTCCATCTTGAATGATCGTGGCGCCGCCTAGCGTGCGGCGTGTCTCCGAGGGGCTGGTGTGGGTAACTTTGCCAATCGTCCAGCAAACCCAATGTGAATGCTGTGAGCGATTTCCGCTTTTATGTGTTTTGTTGACTTTTAGTAACATGTTTTCGGTTTTATTTGGTGGGTAGTTATCCCGAAGCCTTTTTAATCCGTTCGTGCGCCTTTGCGACCGTGAACAAGCCTTATATATATTTTTTCAAGCTCGTTTTCCTTTGCGCTCGAGCCATGGCGATGGTTTCGACGAGCGACGCCTGGGATTCTTTGGATTTCTTGGTACTTGACGGTAAGCTTATGTAATCATTTTGTTTACAGAAATGTAGTATAATTAATTGTAGCATTCACATTAGTAAAACCTATCAAGACGTTAGGACCGCGAGATCGAACCGTTCATGCTTTGAACTGCCGTCATGCCGCGGACCTCGGCGCGACTCGGACCTCGGGGAGTTGGAGCATAGCGTTATTGCTGGCTGCGAACACGGTCGAGCATCGCGCTTTTAAGAGCGTGCTTCGGAGTAGTAGCGAGAGCTCCGGTTGAGTGACGACGGATCACGGCAGCGGTATGCTCAAACTCCACGCGCCCGAGATGTGCTCGGGCAGTGTGCTCGGGCAGATTTGAGGTCGCACAAAGAACTGCAACTTCATTGCACATGAAAGAAAAAAAAACAAAAACAAATTGAGTACGACAGTGTGCTAGTGCGGTGGAAAGGCCGAGGCCCATGCAGGGGTCCCCCCAGGAATTAAAATTAAATGTGGTGTCTAGAAATTGTTTTTTCTTTTTTTTTTTTGGGGGGGGGGGGGGCAGAGGGAGGGGCAGGCTTGGCGAAGCGGTAGGCGGCATTGAGCTTTAGAAAAACAAGGGGGGGGGGGGTGTAGTGAAATCACTGGGCCCATGCATCTGGTGTGCCTACCGAACTGACCTATCATAGCCCTAACAAATAAAAATAAAGGGGGGGGGGGTGAAGAAGGATGACTACAACAATCATTTTACACGAGACGACAAGTTAAACAACCTTAAATGGCATGCGCTACATTATGCTGTAGTTTGCGAATGTCCTCTCGGCTGGCAGGAATCACAGCAGTCAGGGAGTCGGGCAGGTTTCTAAGTAGACATGACCGTGCTCGCTTGCGCTAGAGCTTACTGCCATTAGTTCGGTAAAATCACAATGCGGGTAAGCAGAAAATGTGCCACGCGCACTGCCCTTTAAACCGCCCAGTCGCGAAGAAAGAAAGACTCAAAATAGGAATTCTTTCAACGACTTCGCCTTACAATACAAGCCGTTTTCAATAATGTCAATCATGAGCACGAACTGTTAAAATGCAGCTTTAATTAACTCTGCCCCATGTGATCACGAGTGGCACAAACGCATTATTTAGTAGCAGTGTCTGGAAAAACATGAACTATGCTAATTCTGTTTAGGAACAAAATTTCATTACAAAGTGAAATATTGCTAAAAATAGCTTCTTTGTCCTATATCGAGAATTCAATGTTGACCGATACTTGGACATACACGAGTCGTAAGCATTGATCGTCTTTTTTATTCCTTTCAGAATCGATGTCCTACGTGCATCCTAAGGAGGTGTCAATGTGGGAGGACAATATGAAGTCGTGGCCACCCATAGAGAAGCCGGATATTGTCTTCTACTTGGTCCACTCAAAGGCCTGCGATCTTCAGGAGGTCAGAGCATACAAGAGCCTAGAGTCGTATCTCTACCTGACAAGCGGCCTCGTGGGAACTGTCCTTCACCACAGAATAAGCGACCAGCTGGGCTACTTCAAAGCAGAAGTGGGTAGATCCCAGTCCTTTAATGCTGCTCCACACAAGGCATGGGCATGCGTGCACACCACTGGTCGGGTAGTTACAGGAGGCTGTTCCTGCATGGCTGGCCAGGCAAAGGTGTGTAGCCATGTTGGGGCCATCTTGTGGAAGATGGAGCATGCCTTTGCGAACAAAATGACAGGCACAGCTTGCACCGACGAAGCTGCCGCCTGGAACCGAGGTACCAAGAAAAACGTAACGCCAACAAGCCTCGACAACATTTCGTTTGGAAAGAATGAGCAAAACACAGAAATTCTTGGGACCGTAGATGTGCTGCAGTTTCACACACATGAAGAGTACCTTCATCACATTGAAGACGGCCCCCTTGCAGGGCTCATGAAAATACCAGGGACCTTGTTTCATGAGACACTGATGGCACCTCCACGAGACCCTCCAGCAGCACAAGACCCTTCAGCAGTTCAATGCGACGCAATACCTCTTGCTCACAGCAGCCACGAAGATGCGACCACCCTTCCAAACAGCTGTCCTGCCTGCTGGGAGGCATACAACGAGCTTGTTGCCATCAGTGCACCTAGTATGGACCTGCTCTGCAAAAAAACAGCGGACCAAGGCAACTGCACACTCTGGCACGAGAGCCGCCGCATGCGGTTAACGTCGTCGATGGTTAAAAGAATACCAATACTGGCATCAACTGACCCTTCCAAGGCTGTGAAGGACATACTTCACCCATCCTTTCGAGGGATTCAAGCGACGGAGCACGGCCGCCGCAGTGAGCCCAAAGCTAGGAGGAAATTTATGCTTGACCACCAGTGCACCGTGCGACAAACGGGCCTGGTTGTTTGTCCGGAGCTCCCATGGCTCGCAGCCAGCCCCGATGGCATCATTGATGGAATTGACGCTCTTTTAGAGATAAAGTGTCCAAATGTATTGAACTGTGAAGACCTTCTAAATTCCGGAAAATACGACATAAAAAAGAATGGCAATGGCATTTTCGAGCTGCAACCAAAGGGAAGAAACAAGTTCTATTATCAAGTTCAGTTTGCAATGCACTGCACTGGAAAGACCGTCTGCCACCTCTATGTGTGGTCAGAGGGCCACGACGAGGTTGTAGTTGTCCCCTACAACAAGGACTTCATGAAGTGCCACCTACAAAGAGTGAAGAACTTCTACTTCAAGAGCCTGTTGCCGGCGTTTGTGGAGGACGTTAACTCTGGAAAGATAACGCTCTCAAATGAGTACAAGCAGCTTGCACGTATGTAATGGACCGAGGCAGACAGGCAGTGCAGTATTCTTTATTTTTTTATACAATGTGTGATGCTTGAAAGTTTTGGCAGTAACAAGTTTGATTGATCAAAAGATAGAGTTACACTTAAGCATTCCTTATGAGTTGTGAATGCGAAAGCATGCAAGCCGCTCGTCCGCTCCCTTATTCGTCCCTCAATGTAGATTAAAATCTACATTGAAATCCCACCGCGCCGTGAAAATTGGAACCCACTAATTATTCCAAAACTTAAGGTTTGACCTGAATAGCGAAATACTGAGCCCGCAAAAAATAAGTTATTTACAGTATATAAAGTTGAACAGGTGATTGCCGACGGCCCCATACTGGCAGTACCATGGAGTGAAGGCCAAAGCTGCTTGCTTGCCTTGTGAACGACACGTGACAAGGCGTGGAATGAGGACAGTAAGCTGCCATGGCCACTTCTCCAGGGTGCTGCCAGTATACAGTTGTCAGCAACCACCTTTTCACCTCCATATGGGCAAAGTGTTGGGGAGAACATCACTTTTTGATTAAAGGCCCCTTCAGGTTGCACAACCCCGCGCATACAAAAACTATGTCGCTTGCAACCTTGCGATGCTGTATGGGGAGTGCTTGCTTCAAAATCCTGTAGGATTTTATCCTATTTATTGCCCGCTCTACGTGAATTCGGACAGACGCAATCCTCCTAGTCTCCGTCACCTCTTGTTCGGATAACTGAGCCTTCCCTCGAGTGAAGGCTGGCGTGTTGAGTGCTACTCCCTTCGCTTCCATTTCGGGGTCAAGAGAAAAACCCCTGTCGGCCATCACATGATCGCCACGTTCAAAGTGTGAAATGATTCCAGAGTCTCTTACAATATGCTTGTCAGACGCCCGTCCACCGTAGACCTTGGACACGAACATCACCGATCCGTGGGGTGCAATAGCCACCAAAAACTTCACAGTGTTGTGGCCTTTGTATGAGCTATACGTCTGTGCCCGAGCGAGCAATTTTTTCGGTCGCTGCAAGAACACCTCAGTGCAATCCAAGATGCAAGTAGTGCCTGCAAAACCATTCTCCTCAAAGGATCGCGGAATGTTTCTGAAGATAGTGTCTCGAGAGAGCCACACCACTACATTCCTTAGGACTTGCCCTAGTGTAGCAAGCATGGCGCGAAAAATGTTCCCTACAGTTGAAACCGAAACCGCAAACCTCCTCGACAGATCGCCATATATAAGGCCGAGCCTCAACTTCATTAGCGTGAGCAAAAGCTGCTGCTCAACAGGCATCATAAAATTAGTTGTAGCAAACTGTGGCACAACTTTCACCAACTCCTTGAAGACGTCTGCATGGAGACCGGTATAAAAAAAGATGTCTCGATCCTCAAGGCTATAGCCACTATGAAGAGCAGGAGTCGCAGCTGGAGCTTTGGGTTTCGAGTAGGCGTGGTCGCGATGGCATGTGTCTTCCCGCTGGACCCCCTGGCGGCACACATCTGACCGAATTTGGCTGCCATGATCAGTTGCCTGTAAACAAAATCAGTCTATCAATTGAGACAACATGCTTATCGCGTTAAGCAGACCAGGCTTCTCCTCACATCGATTCGGTTTTGAATTAAACCTACTGTGTGCTCAGGAGTAGACTCCCATGATGTTGAGGCCAAATCGCTTTCGACAATTTGCTCGACCTCTTGCATGTAGTCGGTGCTCTGAAAGGAACAACTTTTTATCCCCAGCACGCAAGATATGTTTCTCACATTAAGTAGATCCTGTTGCTGCTTACGTCACTTAGATTATGTATTAGACCTACCGAGTGTTCAGGAACAGCTGGCCCTGAAGTTGAGGCTAAAGAGATGATCTGCTCGACCTCTTGCGAGGAGTCAGTGCTCTGAAAGGAATGCAACAGCATTTTATGGCCACTAAAATAAGTTAGCATGCTTGATATGTTTATTACATTAAGGGGCCCTGCAACAACTTTTTGACTGGTTTTTAATTTGCACCGAACCTGAGCGGACTGAACGTAGTAACTTAATGAAACTTTTCTTTTCTCGAATTTCGCTTTATTTTAGAAGTTATAGGCAAATTAAAATTACAAAAACAAGCAAAAAAATAACCTCCTTCATGACGTCGTTGGTCGTGGCTTGAGTGATTGTGAACTAGAGGAGAGGTAGTGAGCTCAGCGAGCGCTCACGGCTGCCGCACTCCGTGTCAACAGCTCGAGGGGGCGCCACTAAAGCATGTGTTGGATAGGCTGTATGAAGCGGGCCGTTCAGGGCGGCTTGCATTGCATCTGCTGCGCAATTAAAGACTCATTCGGCACTTCATTGGCCACAAATGACAGCAAATACGGGGTAAAGATCGGTTCAGAACAGGAGCCACTTCGCGCTGCCATACCGCCAAACATCCAAATCGCAAGCCAAACCTGTGCCGAAGGCCTTCGGAATGCTCGGAACCGGTAGGATCCTCAAGCCGGTTACGACCGTAGCGCCACCGCGTACATCCCAAACCTTTCTACACTCGCCGCTCGTCAATGCCCGATCCCACTACCCCTTCCTAGTATGCGCCGCCTTTTCCACCGCTTGGTGGCGGGTACGTCGACGAGTCATTTCTTGTTTCTGTACTTTATAAACTGCATTGGTTTCTTTTCTGATCTAAAATACTAAACAAAAACTACTCTCACAAAATAATTGAAACGGTTCGCGCCACTTATATTTTGTATTTCGACTAAAAAGAAGCTTTTCGTGGCTCTGACCAGTAGTTAGGCCAGGACCAAAGACCTCACATATCGCGCGCTTTCGGCACCGCGGGTCGCCCCCGTATGTGGAGGAGGTTTCCGCGTCGTCCCGTTAAAATAGGACGCAGTGATATTAAGTAACTCTCTCCGTGCCCGCTGGCTTGCCCGAACCCCAAGAGACGTGGAAACCGCAAAAAAGTTAGACGCTTAAATATGATTGCAGGGCCCCTTTAAGCAGATTACGCTGCTGCTCACATTAATTGAAGTATGTATTAAACGTACCGAGTGTTCAGAAGTAGCTGGCTCTGATATGGAGGCCAAGGCGATGATGCACTCGACTTCTTCGGTGGAGCTGGTGCTCTGAAATAAATGCAACAATGTTTTATGCCCAATAATTGGGGTTCCTTGTTTTCGGAGTTTATTTTTCATTAAATTCAAAGGATGGTTTTCAGAGTTTATTTTTTGCCGAAGATTCTGAGTTTATATTTATTTGATTCCCAATTCTCGGAAATTCTGAGCTTAATTTTGCAGTGTTTCCTATTAAAAACAAATAAATAAATAATAACCAGATGTAAACGTGTGCCAGATAAAAAATAAAACGCGCTTGTATCATTTAAAATTTCTTCAGTTGAGTTTGGCGCAGGTGCCATTGCCATTGGCAATACTAATTTGTCCCACGACAAACGTCGCACACAAGTGTTGCTTCGATAAACGTCGGTACCTTAGAATCAATAAAGTCCAGGGGGTAGTGGCTAGGAAGCTCGTAGTCATACCCATTTATTTTATCAATCTAGCCCGCGGCCGCGCGAGGTGGAGTGGTTAAGGATGTAATAGAGAAGTTTCAACTGCCCCTCTTCCCTATTTTATACAATCTTTATGGTCCATAGCTTTCACCGTTACAAAAACATACCCTTTCCTTTCTCTAAATCACAAATCGCATGGCTCAAACCAGAAACCAAAAGAGTGGCTTTTGTCGTGACCCGTATGTACAATGACCTGTTGCCCTGAATCAACCTTGACGAGGCAAGCAGTAAGACCCCATTTGACAACGGTTCGAAATTTGAAAGATAATTATGGTGGCATTTACCCAGGAACATTGACCCTGCGCTAATGAAATTGTAAAAAAAAAGTTTTTTTACTATTTTCTTTTTTTTTTCCGGGAAGGGGGGTGCGGCATTGGCACATAAAAATTCGGTGTTTATCGGATAAATCCCAATTGACCAGAATTTTACCGGCGGGTAATGTTCTGAGTTTTTCGGATTTATCCCGAAACACAGAACCCTACCAATAATGTAAGTTACCATGCCAGATATGTTTATCCTACTAAGCAGACCATGCTGCAGCTTGCATTAGTTAGATTGTGTAATAAACTTGCCGAGTGTTCAGGAGCAGCTGGCCGTGATGTTGATGCCAAAGCAATCTTGTGCTCGGCAGTGGAGTCGGTGCTCTGAAAGGAATGCAACAGCTTTTTATTCGGGGTGTGCAAATATTGATAATCTCGAATTCGAATCGAATATCAAGGGAAAGCACCTCCGAATATTATACTGATTATTGAATATGTAAGCAGTATGGAAAAATGAAAAAAAAAAAAGACGAACATGCGAATAATTTTGTTTTTATTATATTTTGGCCCAGTGATGACCTTTTATATTAGGAAGTAAATAAAACGATCTGTCTAAGCAGCATGTAAAAAAAATCTTCTAAATAGTCATTGCAACTTGACCAGTGATTACCCACATAAAAGGAGTAAATAAAACAATAAAACAGTTCATCAGTCCATAACTAAACAGGATAACAAAGATGCAACTGAAAATATGGTCTCAGAAATAGACTGGTATGACCTTAGAGTATGAAGGATACAACTGATACTGGGGCCATAGATAGATGACATTTAAAAATATACCAGAATATGACTATACCCGTTTTCACCTCAAGAAAAAAGCAGGTTTTGCGCATTGTTCACATGCGGTGCAAAGTAGTTCTTATGACATTTGCTTGTCGGAGGAAACAGCAATGCTTTTGGTGTTTGGAAGGTGTGTGTCTTGATAAGATAACATAGATCTAATCTAAAATTCACTTACATGTATCTTAATTATCCACATAAAGAAGGAAATTAGTAATGCTCCGCAAGGAGTCTGACTTTTTTTACGACGGCTCTTGAGGTGAAACAAGTATAGATAATACATATCAGATGTAACTTACAATTGAGTGATGCAAATTGATTGGCAAAACAAAGTGAAAAAGAAATCGAAACTACTCTGGTCTCATGAGGCAGATTTTGTGAAGTTTTTTTTTACGTTCAACGAAAACGGATACATAGCTTTCAGCAAATAAACATATTCTTATATACTTCAGATTTTTCAGGGCATGTGCAGGGTACAGATTATTTTCTACTTGACCCAATATTCGCGGTTTGTCCGAATATTTGGCCGCAGCTGAATAATCGGGAACTTCTAAGCAGGCAATTCTCCAATCGACTACGATTAGAATAAGGGAATTATTCAATTTATATTTGAATACTCGCACACCCCTACTTTTTATAGCCACTAAAATAAGCTAGGATGCAATATATGTTTATTATATTAAGCCGATTATGCTGCTGCTCACATCAATTCAGGTATCTATTAAATGTACCGTGTGTTCAGTAGCTGGCTCTGATGTGGAGGCCAAGGCGATGACGCGCTCAACTACTTGTGTGTAGCTGGTGCTCTGAAACAAATGCAACAATGTTTTATGCCCAATAATATATTACCATGCCAGACATGTTTATCCTAATAAACAGACCATGCTGCAGCTTGCATTAATTAGGTTGTGCAATAAACCTACCGAGTGTTCAGGAGCAGCTAGCGCTGATGTTGATGCCAGAGCGATCATGTGTTCGGCAGTAGAGTCGCTGCTCTGAAAGGAGTGCAACAGCTTTTCACACTCAATGCCACAAAATAGTGCTGGACGTCGAATTTTAGGCATGCGAAGTTCGAGCTCTGAAACTAAAGAGAAATCGTGTCCTGCATAACCCCTGTGGCACTGGAGGCAATACATGTGTGTTCTCAGGGGCAGATTTAGAGGGGGGGTCCGGATGTCCTGACCCCCCTCTTGATTTCTGTGTGTGTAAAATTTAGGGCGTAAAACGAAGAAGTGGGGGAGGGGGTTCCTAAACATATGGTACGCTGACCAACACCTGACCTCCCCCCTCAGGAAATTCCTGCATCCGCCCCTGTGTGTTCTAAGGATCAACTCACAATTCCGCATCCAGCTCCAGAAGACAGTTTCTTCCTCTGCAACGAAAATTATAATAGTATGTTTGTTCAGATCACAGACGAAAGCCAAGAACCAGTATTCAATCATGTCAGCGCTTACCTTTGTGGTCAGTGGTTCGCAACTGGCATCACGCATTAAACGGCGCCTCCCAACGACAACCTGTCAGAGAGCATAAGCGTTTTGGGCGTACTGTGTGTATCAGAACTGAGACACTAGTGTGATTAGGGTCACATTTACCTTACGCGCATACCCGAGAGAGAGCTGCGGGACGATATTTTCGTCCGTCTTCTCTCCAGCCACGAAATGGGCCGAACATACCTGGAATCGGGCATGAATGTTACGCAACAGGTAACGACAGCGATAAAGTTACGTTCCACGATAAAGACATGTTCTACTGACCCGAGTATGTTCTGTGGGCGTGAAATCCTTGCGGTTCAGCGCCGAGAGCCACCTTCCTTTCAATACCGGATCCTTGGGGAAGCGGTGGAACTTCACCACCCCGCAATTACATGACGTTTGTTGGTGGAAAGCGCACAACTGCTGTCTTTGATTTTTTCTCTTTCGATGATTGTTTGAACATCCGAAAACAGCACAGTGTACTCCCGACGACCTAGTTGGGTTATCCATCGTGCAGTCTACACGAAGTGCCTTGAAAAGAGCACAAGCGGGAAGAGCGCAGAACCGGAAGAACGCGAAAACAGAGACACAAGACCACCAGACAAAAGAACGACGAAAAAGACCTCGACAACTTCTGAGCAACGCCACAGAGCAGGAACTCTCTCGGCTCTCTCGTTTGAGACGATGCTCGGTGGATGGATAAATAGTAACTGTACCGTTGTACTCTTTGTAACAGGCGGTAGCCTGCGCCACCTCTCGCTAACGATAATCGTGAGAGTGGAGCGATCGTCCTAGTTTGAGAGTAGGCCTCCATTCGGCGCGCCCATCGCGCGGTTCGAGGCTAAGTCGGTACTGATGATGATTGCGCTTGCAAACGTGTATAGGCACGGTTCCGTGTTTTCGAATAAATCCGAAAAAAAAAATCCCGAGAGCACTCGTCGGTAAAATTAGAGTCAATTGGAATTTATCCGATGAACTACAAATTTCGGAATCAACAAGTAAGAAAACAAAAGTATTGTGCGAGTAATTTTGTTTTTCATATTGCTATGGACTCTTCTTTTAAATATCAGATCATTTGACAAAATGAGGTGTACCGCATACCTATAGTCAAGCTTCGGTGAGGACAACGCATCGTTGTACTTCACGATAAAAGTCACTTTTCTGAACTTTGGGTTTCATTTTTAACCGTACTATTTTTGCTTTTTAGAGAAAAGAAAAGTTGCGTTTTTTTTCACAGTGGTGGCTATGAACCCTTAGATTTTATAATGGGGGAAGAGCGGCTCAAGTTTCTATATTCCTTGCTTGGCCACATTCGTGCCCCGTGAAGTGGAATTGTGGAATAATATCGGGAAAAAAAACTCGTTTCCAGCAACTATGTCTGTGTGTTTCTAGATTTTAAAATATCAACTTTTACTGAAGCACGTACTTGTCTGTAAGCTTTGTCGTGGACAGTATAATACACCAATGTCAAGGACGCCAACTCCAAATTCAGCTGGGGTAATATCATTTGATACTGGAGAGTTCTTACGAATATAGGGCAAACTTTTAAAAATTGGGAAAAAAGCAAAATTAAACTCCGAGGTACGGAGAATTAAAATCTAGCAGAAATGAATTTTGAATTTTCGGCGTCAAATAAACTTTGTAAACACGGAATCCTCCGTATAATCTGGTATTTTTCCTGGCGGCCGATCTGCCAGTGGGGCGATGGGCTTCGTCAAGCTGCCCTTTCAACTTTCATTTCCTTACATTCACCGCCCATTTGTAATGTGGAAGTACATAAAATGGATCTAATTAATTTTGTCATCGTGTCGGCAATTAGCACATTGTCTTTTGTATAATCTATAAGTGGTGTGAATACAGCTTGGAAAAAACACGCTGTGTCACAGTTAACGCTAATGATTTTCCCGTCGTGTGATTGACTCGAGCTTTGAACCAATAAACAACGAGGACTCTCCCGGCCGTAAGATAGGGGGTTTGTCATGTCAGCGTCGTGACTGGCTCAAGCCCGTTGAGAGCAGTTCAAGTGCTGTGTTTTAATACTTTGTGCCTCCGTCTGGATAAAGGAGAAAAAAAGCACACCCAAATTCAATTACGTTTTAATGTAGAAGCCAGGCGCACACCACCCTCTATATTTTTCTTCTATCATTGAACCGCTCATGGATTAATAAAAACTACGAGTAGCCACACCATGAGTATTATTTTTTAGGAGATATTTAGAAAAAAAGGGTTGGCAGTTGGCGTAGATTTTGTCTTCATTGTGTGTATGCGGACATTAGGTGGAAAAATAACCGTCCATATTAAAACGATAATTATCTAAATGTATTAATTAACTTTGAGAACGTGGTAGCACATTTTAGACATAGACAAGAGGGAAGAACAGGACAACGTATTGCGTTGCCCTGTTCTCCATTTTCGTCTGTGTCTAAAAAGCGCCACCTAATTCTGAAAGTTTCAGCACCAACTCACCCAACAAGCAGCATTCATACATTTTATTAACATTGTAACTGTTTTTCGGGTCACATTTCAATTGCTTTATCGACAGAAATTACTTTTAGATGTTAGACCAATCAAAAAAAGAATTATATAATGGCGTTTGCGGTATTAACCGATCAGTTTTTTTTTTTTTTTTTCATTTTCGCCCGATCTAAAAATATCGGGCAAAAAGGAGCGCAGCAAGCCAAGCCCACAATGACACTTAAAAGAAACTACGGAGTCGTTTCAGTCACGTCGTCATGAGGGGGTTTTAGCCAGTCCTTTTGGAGCACACGGTTCCGAAATCATGAGCGGTCCAGCTGCTCTGTTTCGTGAAACCGTGCAAATTTCCACGCGTTTTAGCCAAGCGTAAAAATCACGCAACCTTTAAAGGGCTACTCCGACCGAAACTCAAAATGAAATAAATTACTGGTATCGCTGTAGTGACACAAAATACGACCCCAGCCAAAATGTCACGTCCGTGGGACGCCGCATTCTCAACTAATGCCGATAATAAAAATGCGACCCGCCGCGAGCCGCTGCTCCTTAGCGGACGGCCAGCGGGTTACCGATCGCTAAAGCAACATTCGGCCGTGACGTCAGTATCGTTCTCTTTTTTTCCTCCGGTCCGGGCGTTGCGCGGAGTGCGCTTTTTTGAGGCGCGCTGCACACAGCTACTTCGGCTTGTGATTGGCGTGTTTAGCCGTTGCTTTTATCTGTAGCCCGGGTAGCTTCGGTATAGCCTTTTGTTTATTTGCTTGTGAGGATTCCATGACTCGTTTCAGCGAGCAACTCGGTGCGCCGAAGACTGCCCAGCTGTTCCTCGAAAGATGCCGAGTACCACTTGTAGTGCTTTGGGCTGCTCAAACAACCCGTTGCGCAACCCGGAGGTGCTTTTTTTACAAGTTTCCAACGGACCGGAAATTGAAGAAGGTGTGGGTGAACGCTGTTCGACGAGTGGACTTTGGACTTCTACTTTTACGAGCCCGAGGGAAAAAGAACGAAAAAACAAACGTGTACAACCCAGCACACGTGTGTTCGGGCACCGCGGCCCACGCCGGAGAGCCTCAAAGCTTCGTGTCTGTAACTGACCCGCAGCGCGAAAGCGAGAGGGCCCCCAGTACTGTACGTCACTGGCAGCGCGGCGTACAGCAACGCCGCTCCATTCACGGAGCCCCGATGACAATCTAGGCCTAGCGACGAATACGGAAAACCGGACGCACGGCGACAGCCGCCGAGTACGGCAACGAACGAGTTCACTCGTTTTCCAGTCGTTAGCTTTTGGGTATACAAGCGACGAGTACGAAATAGAGGACGCACGGCGGTTTGCGCCGAGTACGGCACCGAACGAGTTAACGGGCTTTCCAGTCGCTAGCTTTTGGGCATACGCACTAACTCGTGCTACATACGCTGGATAGCTACCACGTATACAGAATTAAAACAGAATCAGCTTATACCTCCTATCTTTAGACGGCTTGCGCAACCGAGGTAGGTGCCGCTCGGCGTGCGTACTCGTTGAACGAGAACGATTCTGACGTCACGTTCACATAGCGGCTGATTTCCAGTGTTGCCGGGGCCTCGACGGCTAGTTTCGGTTTTGTTGGCCGCGCCCAAAACAAAAACTTTGAGGCGTTGATATCTTTAAAACTACTCACAATAACGAGAAAAAAAAAGGTTACACCTTGCAATTCAGGGAAGCTTACTGCACTAAAAACAGTCCTAATCCGAAAACCAAAAGTATGGACCGGAGTTGCCGTTTAGACGATGATGATGTTTGCGTTTGGCCGGCAGCGACATCTCGTAGTAAACATCTGAAACGTTCTGCTGCGTGCAATTCTGCGGCTCGCGTTTCACAGCGCACATTGTTCTTGACAAGACGACCGAGTTATTTACCGGTCAAGAGCTCCGCAGCTGGATAGAGTAAAATGTGTCCGAACGACCACCAAAATAGGTGATGTACGTTTCTTTGTCTTATCGAACTTGAACGATCATTCACGTCGTAAGCCGTAGAATCATGTCATTTTGTATGCTCGCCCACGCCGCGGCTGCTCGTTAGACCGGACCACACGCGCAGTCTAGAGCATTCGCGATCGCTTACTATATATACTATCGCTTACAACAAAGTAGTCTTTAAAGTGATTCGGTTCGACTTTTTGGATGAAGCAAAAAGTAGCGGGAAAGCAGATCGCCTCCCGATCCGCTAAGTCTGACGTTTGACTGGGACGGCAGAGTGGACCGCCATCTTGCATTTTACCCAAGTCGTCCACGGTGTTGGCTGCGTTGCGGTGACGACTCCAGCGGCCGGAGTGGGAGATACGCACGAGAGCATCGCGATTCCCGAAGTCCCCAACGACTCGCGCGCGCAAGCATAGGGGCGTTTCAAGGACGAACCGTTCCTGTCGAAACGACTCGCTAAAACTCCCAACAACTCGGCAGTATGCCATTGGAGCATTCAGCAAGAAGGCTCTGCCGAGATTGTGACGACGTGATCGAAACAACTACGTCACTCGTATAAAAGTCACTTTGGGTACTGCTTCGCTCTTTTAGAGCGCAGCTCTTAGGGGCCCGTTTCCAGCCTGAGCGGCGTCGGCGTCGGCGTCGCCATCGGCGTCGGCGTCGCCATCGGCGTCGGCGTAACCGGGGGGGGGTCACGTGACCCCGAGGTAACGCCGAATTGGAGCGCAGCTCTTGAGGAGGAGTAGGGAAGGGTACTGAGGGGGGTCACGTCACCTGCGGGTAGTCACGTGACCCCCCCCCCGAGGTCACGTGATCCCCCCGAGGTCACGTGACCCCCCTCCTCCGAGATCACGTGACCCCCCCGGTATCACGTGACTACCCGCAGGTGACGTGAC